CTGGAGAGATGGCTCAGTGGTTAAGAGCATTGGTAGCTCTTCCAGAGGTCCTGAGTTCAGTTCCCAGCAACCACACGGTGGCTCACAACTATCTATAGTGAGATCTGATGCCCTCTTCTGGCATGCAGGCATACATGCAGATAGAACACTCATACCAAAAAGAAAAATAAAAAATAAAAAAGTATAAAGGAGCTGAGCATAGTGGCACACATCTAATTCTATTAGTAGGGAGGCAGAGGCAGGCAGATCTCTGAGTTCTGAGTTCAAGACCAACCTAGCCTACAGAGCGAGTTCCAGAATGGCCATGGCTACACAGAGAAACCCTGTTTCAAAAAGCCAAAAGGGGGGCTGGAGAGATGGCTCAGAGGTTAAGAGCACTGACTGCTCTTCCAGAGGTCCTGAGTTCAATTCCCAGCAACCATATGGTGGCTCACAACCATCTGTAATGAGTTCTGGTGCCCTCTTCTGGCCTGTAGACATACATGCAGGCAGAACATTGTATACATAATAAATAAATAAATAAATAAATAAATAAATAAATAAATAAATAAATAAATCTTTAAAAAAAAAGACCCTATCTCAAAAAAAAAAAAGAAAAGAAAAGGAAAAGCTAAACCAAAAAAAAAAAGGAAAAAAATAAAAAATAAAAAAAGCCAAAAGGGGGAGGGGGATTAAAAAAGAAAGGGGGAGGAGGGGGAGGAGTGGAAAAGGGGAGATGGGGGCGGGGAGGATGAAGGACACCGAGGTGGGGGAGGATGAAGGAGGGGACCAGCTAAGTGTAACTCTCCTTTTTTTCTTGGTGATTATTAGTTTTAAAAAACAGGGAAATTCAAGCAATACAAAAGATTCGGGCAAAACACACACAAAAGTTCAGTTTTAGCAGCAATAACTAAAAATAAGACAACCAAAAATAATTAAGTTTTTCATGTATTACTTACAGCAACTGGACACAGATTTATGTCTTTTGATGAGCCTGTGAGGTAAATAGTTAAATAGGGCAAATAAAATTAGAACATACCGCCACCTTAGATGAGGAAGTAGAGTGGACACGACAAACACAAGGTCTTAACAAACTTGACACTCACTAAAACAACACTTC